CCCCCCTGCTCCAGCAAAGGTCAATGTTCGTTTCACTGCGGGCGTTTGGGCGTGCGCAACGAGTAGAAAAAGTGTTTGAGAAATCTTTAAAATACTATGAGAATGAAAAAATCGCCGTATTTTTTTGCGATTTAAATCTCCGGCGGAGACTACGAAAGACCTCAGGTCTCCGATTTTCAAATACTTTTTTGTTTCTCATAATTTAACGTTCTTTATGAAATACTTTTTGTGCACCTCTTGACCCAATTTGCAGCGCAATAGCCAATCCACAGCACTTTCTCCCTTCCTTGATAGGGCCCTAAATTGTTCTACCTTCATAAAGAAAACGCGCTCCAAGTATACGGCACTGCATGCTGTCCTGATTGCACGCGTTTGTACAGGCTACAAAGTGAGCTTCGTTATTTTCAGGCGGATATTCGTTCTCGTAAGACTTAATCGAAGACCTCGTGCCGAGGCCTGATGATAAATTATGCTAAATTGCATGGACGTTACGAGATGTTGGACGTTTTTGGGCGTATAAGAGATCTTATACTGGAGATTTTCCGGGTTCTCCCACCTGTGAGCGAGTTATATGCAATGAAGCAATCGATTGGCTAGTAGGTTGATATGATATCCAGCTAATAGATACACTTCATTGCTAACGAATTACTTGCATAAACTGTCCGGAAAGAAGCATTGGAGCCACAATAAAAAGACGTAGAAACTTTTTTATTCAGATTACTGAACCAATCAATCAGTATTTGTTCTTCTTATACATGTGCTCTACTAATGCTTCATCGGTTCAATGGTCTCCTTGTATGCTTCTTTCATCGCTTGTTCCTCTTGCTTCTCGGTATGCACATACTTTCCATCCACAATTTTGTTACCAACAATTGTGTGAACGTCATGCGTCTGCGGATTTACTATTGGGCTTAGTTTTTCAGTCTGTTGGAGAACTCTCTGATCAGCGTTTGGTTGGTCATTTGTCACAGATACTGTTTCAACTCGATTATAAGTATCTTTGCTATAAACCGAGATTTTCCTTTGAGGCTCGCCGTCCTAAAAGACGATTTTGAGGGAACAAAGATCGCAAGTTAGTCATAAATAGTTTTATAGTTTTATGAGATAAGTCTTTTAGAGGAGCACCTTGTTTGTTGTTGTCTCGGATCTGTGGTACTGAAAAGAACGTATTCAGTTAAAATGCTGCTCGATCATAACTTCACTCACCATGAGTAAGGCGACCTTCCCTAGTGTTAGTATTAATGAAATGAAAGCTTCCAGACAGCAAATGCGGATTAAGTAAGAATCAATTGTT